AAAAAAAAAAAAAAAAAAGTAAGAAACTCACTTATTTTCCCAGAAAACATTTTCTTTCATACCGAACACACCTGAAACTCAACTTTTGCGACCAAAATGGAATAAATGTTACCCAAATCCACACTTAGAAGTAAGTCCACACAGAAATTTAACAGTTCACCTTGTGTTTTAAATCAATCCATATCGTCCCTATAATTGCTCTTAAGTTCACAAATAATTTAAAAAAAAAAAAAACGAATTAAAGATTTCATAATTCAGTGCCATCAAATCCCAGAGCTATTATTAGTATACTATTAGTCAATACTAGTCAAAATGAGAAAACATAGAGAAAGAGAGGATACTTGAGATCGTGATTGGGGAGAGAAGAGGAAGATCCGGGACGAACAGAAGACATCTCAATAACAGCACTATCATTGTCATGAGCCACCACTGGACTGTATTTTCGTCCAATAACTGAAGGGAACTCATTTTCCTCCGCAATCTCAATCTCTTCTCCACCTTCCATTGCCCCCCTAATTCGAAGCTGTCAAGTCTGAACTACCCAAACCAGAAAGTGTTAAACGCGAGAAAAGAGGTTTTTAAGCTGCTATTCAGTGCAGAAAATGGAAATGAGGAGAAAGAGATCTGACAATTCATGATTTATTTATATGTAGAGAGATAGAAAGGGAGACAGAGAAGAGACAAGTTGAGAGAGGAGACAGAAATTGAAACGGAGGGAAAATATGAGGGCTTTTTTTGACGAAGTCATAACTGTTTGGACCAAAATGGAAGGTCGAGGACTTAGTGGGGGGAAATGGGAGAGAAAAAACTTGACACTCGTTGCCTATTTCGTTTGACCATGGTTTTTATTGAAATGAAATGATATCTTTGACTTTATTTGTTTGGTAAATGGATTTAACATAATCCTATAAATTTAATGTAGATTTGCTAGTAGGTGTTTCATGTTTGGCCATAGAATTTAAATGTTTTAAATTTTATTTAAAATTTATTAATTTTGATATAAAAATTGAGTTGTACTTGGTTTTTTTTGTAAAGAACATTTCAATATTTCAACGTTATCAGGTACTTAAATATAATTTTAAAAATAAAAAAAAGTAACTAATTCTAAACTATTTTTCAAAATTAAAATACATCTTAAAATTTGGTTGAAAAATTCTACAGTTAAACATGGATTTTTTTTTTAAAATATTTTTTATTTTTTATTTTTCACACTATAGCTGAAACTCATATTAAAAATTGACTGAACCCAAATTCATCTCAAAAAAAATCATGAATAATAAATTTAGACTATTTCTCAGTTTGTGCGTGTCCACCCTGATTTTTCCTTGTTTCCATTTTCCTTCCCTATTAAGCTTTCCTCATTTGCTTAGTAGTATTATCAAAATTGCATCAAAAGACCAAATAGTTTTTATCTCTTGAACATTGATTGGACCTCAATTAAGTTTGACCATCTAGAAATTCACAAGATATTTTTTTACTTTCTAGGTTTTGCACAAAATATTAAAAAGTTTATGACGATAGAAAATAAGCTTGAAATTAAAAAAAAAAAAATCATTTTATGCATGTTATTATTTTGATCAATAACATACTAGAAAAACTCTAGAAATTTTGACCCTCACACAAGCAACCTTTAAGCAATTTTAATCACCATTTGAGAGTGAAAATATATTGAAGACAACCCTATCAAAATAACTAAATCCAATTTGTAACTCTTCAAACTCAATCATAACTAAATAAAAATGGTGGAAAAATGATTTATTTGTAGTAAAAGGAAGAACAAAAGAAAATATGAAAAAAAGATGAAACATGAAAAAATAAGTGTGATTCCCTTGTCATAAAAAAAAAAAAAAAAAAACA